ACTGATTTCTCATCAGACACTGCAAAAATTAGACTTCTAAAAATAATTTAAAGAGACTAGATTAAACCCTTATTCTTTTCAAATTGATATAATTAAATTGCAGTTTGACAGTTGGTCAGACTTCTTGAAATAAAGCAAACCTTTCAGGCGAACAAGATTAATAATCCAACATATTCTGATCTTTAGTATATCAGTCTAAAAACAAGATCAAAATTACTTTTTAGCTGATAAGACTGTACAACTTGGTTAAATTAACAGTTTTTGCATTAAAGTGACTTTACTGCTCAGAAACATTAACAGATTAAATAAGCTCCCTGTTTGGGACCAGATTAGTTTCAGAGCATTTGTTACCATGAAAACATCCCCTCTGCAACGAATTCAAGACTTAATTCAGGTTTACACCAAAACCTCAGCTTAATCCCTTATCCTAGATTTGTGCAATAGGCTCCTGGAGCCTTCAACGCTTTTCCTTTTAGGGTTAATTTTTTTTTCTTTCAGGTAAAATTGCACTATTTCTGGGAGATTTTACAAAACTCTAAAATATGCAATCTCTGTAAATTCTGTTTTATAATTTAAAAAAAAGGTGCGGTTTGTGTCTTGTTTAAATCGTCTGTCTGGATGAACTTTGACCTATTTAACCTTTTCACAAATAAACATGTATTCAAATGGACTCGTTAGCCTTATTCTGTATCGACTTTAATTCTTCATTTATCCTGGGTCAGTTTGAAGAGTTAACAGGTCACAGAAACCCAGACCTCCCTTCTCAACTCCTCCTGGGGGACCCCAGGGTGTTCCCAGACCAGAGAGGATCTATAATCCCTACAGAGTTTTGGGGTCAGGGTCTTTTCCCAGTGAGGATTCTTGATCCTGAACCACCTCAGACTCCTTTGCGTCCACGATGGAGCTCATCTGAAGTAGTGATGTGCAGCTCGATACCGAAATATCGATACTACCGATACCAGAACTTTGTGTTGTAGAATCGATATTAAAATCAAAATATCAAATCTTTGATACTTTAGTTATTTCACATGTGTATCATTAACAGGAAAATAACTAAACTATTCCAATCTTGTCTTAAATATGTGGTTGGAACTACTTTTTCTTCCGCTTGGGTAATGCATAAAGCATAGTGACACGTGCTCCGTCAGTCACTCAGTCTGTGCATGTATGGCAGGTCATTTTAACATAAAATCTGCTTTTTCTGACTAAATTCTAGATGAGGGGTTCCCAAACTTTTTCATGCTATGGCCCCCCAAAGAGCATTAGCTCTGGCCAGATACCTTCTGGCAAACACACAAACAATGCTACAAAATATACAAAGTAACAACTTTTAAAATATTTTCTCACTTTTCACTATTCAAAAATTGTTTAAGGATAAGAATATTAAATTGTGCTAGAGAGTTAGAAAGACTTAAATTAAATGACTGTCATGTATTATTTATAAAGCAAGTACTTTTTAAGATTTGACATGTCATCACAAAATGTCAGTATCGGATCAGTATCGCCGATACCAACCAAATGTTACTTGGTATCAGTATCGGAAAGAAAACTGGCAGTATCAAAGGTCACCAATCTGAAGTTGAACCTGATCACCCTACGAAGGAAGAGTGTTTCAGCTGTTTGTTTCCAGGATCTGGTTCTTTCAGTCCTGATCCAAACCTCATGGCCCCAGGGGTTAACTGGAATCTAGASTGACCAGTAACTCCAGTCTTGACTTAACTTTTTTAAAATTAAACATTAGTCCAACTCAGATTTTTGCTTCATCAGTTGAATATTTGGTTTTAGATTCCCTGACCATCAAAGCACAGACATAAAACTTTCGTTGTTGTAAAGAATTAACACCAGCTCCAAATGAAAACGCAGCAGATATTTCAGATTTATTGTGTTGAAAGTTTGATGAAGCAGTTTGACCTGCAGGTGTAAACTGGTTCCTTCACTAGATCTTACTGTTTTTGACCACCGGACTCCCTCATCGGGTCGCTCCCAGGCAGAGGAACGTGGTTCAGGGTATCCTGGGTGTATTTGCTATCAGAGCGGACGTCTCGTGCTCGCTGGTAGCCGCTGCTGGAGACAACGATGTGGGATGAAGGGTACACCAGTCGGTCATGAAACGAGCCGAGCGGAACGTAGTCCAAGGTCCAAGGGAAGCTTGGGGTGCTACGTCTGGGACTCAAAAGCATCAGGTCAGCAGTCATCTGAGCAATTCCCCCGTCAAGAGGGTACAGAAAGTCGCCATCAAATTCAGATTCAAATCCAGAGGCAGCTCCTCTGCTGGTGTAAGCTGAACCAAAACCTTCATTAGGGTAACCGTACCCCAAGCCAACGCTGTGGCCTGAACCAGCTGGACCTGGAACAAATTTTAGTTTTTAAACCAGAAGCTATTCAGCAGCCTTGGAAAGTCCTTGTATTAGCAGGACATTTTAATATCTGACACCTTTACTCTTCATAAAAACTCACCTYTTTTCACAGGAAAACCAGCTCCAATGCTGAAGAGCAGGAAACAAACCCATGCAGTCCTGTTAAAGTAAAAACTTTATGTGAAAACAAGCACAAAAACCTAAAAGATCAAAGTCAAGACCTCACCTGAAAACACACTGAAACTCCATATCAACCAGTTCAGCTAGAACCATCTGTAAAACTGTGATTCAGCTGCAGCTGATTTATATTTGCTTTAATTAAACTCTTTAATGTCACCTGACTGACTGCTCTTTGGAACCTGTCAGGAGAAGAAGGTGGTGATGATGATGATGATGTTCCTAGAAGCTGTTTGTAAAAGTACTCTGAACTTGAAGTTTATTATGAACAATTAAATATGGTAGAAATACCTTTTTATTTTAAGATAGAAGTAAAATCAGCAGCAGGAAGAAAGAAACACGTCTCAGCTGGACATAATGGGTCATAAAACATCAAACTGGGCATTATTACTGGACTGAACGTCTTTTGAAGGAATGAAAAACGTTAAGTAGGGATGTTGACATGTCGTCAGCAGCTGCTGTCATTTTCTTCCCAAACTGCTGTGACCAGATTTTGCAAGGCTGCTYKGTGCTTGTTATTTCCTCCTGCTTCGTTATTTCTACGAATTTCAACAAAGTGTGCCGACGTCAGGTAGTTAGCTACTTTTAATTTTTGTTGATGCGTTTTGAAGAGACAATTTTAAAAAAAATAGGATCAAAGTAAATCACCAGTTTTTCTAGTGACCCCTTAAAGCAGTGGTTCCATAACTTTTTATCTGACCCACAAAATATCCATGGCAAAAACTTGTGACCCCAAATATTACTGGTCTGTGTACACAAACTTTAATAACCCTAAAATCAAAGGCTACACAAATATAAATACTTATTTATACTTATTTTGTGTTTTGTAATAATTATAGGGAAAATATTACATCACCAATTATTTTATTACCCTTTAAATTAATTTCTGAAGTGCAGTGGTTCCCAAACTTTTCAGCTTTTGACCCACAAAATAACA